AAAAACATCTGGTGCATTTATTAAACAAGCTGCAACTACATTACCCACAAGGCCACAGTCTTAATCAGAGTGTAGCATGTAGTRAGGGTAGAAACAGAAGGGTGATACTATTTCTGACACACTTTGCCAAGTTGCACTTTTCAAATTTAACTGATTATATTTATCCAAACTTTTTAATCAGACTCATAAACACTGAAGAGGAATTTTTATGATTTAACAGAGAACTCTCCATTTAAAATGAGTACTCAGGAAATAGGAAACCAATTTTATCTTTTAAAATTTTATTACTGAAATAGAAAAATCTATTTTCAGGAAAAATTGATTAAAAATAACACAAAAAGACAAACATAATAAAGGCTTAAAATAGTTAAAAGAGGTGGTTTGAGAAATACTTCGATTATCAAATGTTGTAAATCTAAGATGAATAAAGATTAAACGAGATTTTAGTATTTCCCTTCAACATGTATTTTTCTTTCTTCTGACTGATCTATAAATGAGTTTTATCCAGTAAGGATTCACATTCTCTAACCTGATCATCTAAACTGATTTTAATACKTTTGATAATATTCCCAAATGTGTAGAAGGTATAAAAATAAGTAAAATCTACATCTTTATTCACAAACCTACAGAAGACTCACTCTGGATAAAAATATTTCAACAAATCTTTCAGGAGAAAGTGAAACTATGTTTGTTGGTGTGAGTAAAAACAGTTTTGGACTAGAATGCTGTGGTTTTAAGAGGCTCCTCCTGTTATGCTAGTAGCTTTCTGACTTCTTTCCTGGTGTTAATAAGCTATTATCTTTATTATTACTAATTTTCTTTTCATGCAGATCAAGCAGCACAAGATAGAGATGGATGGATGGATGGATGGATGGATGGATGGATGGATGGATGGATATGTTAGGGTGATAGGTCTTTATACCTTTTTGAGTTATGAAAATGGACACATCATGTAAGATTAGTACTTTTTATCCTGTAATATTACAACTTTATTCTCATAGTATTATGACTTTATTCTCATATTATGATTTTATTTTTGTAATAATAATAATAATAAAGTCTTATGTGGCCCCAAAACTCCGTTGTAGATACTGGAGCTAAACCCGAATTATTAATGTTTATTTATTTACGTTTAACGTTTTAACAGTGAAGTTATTCTTCCAGTAAAAAGACGTGTAAATACACGTTCCGACACATTTTAAGTCCGACATGAAACTGATCATTATGGTAACGGGGGAGCACGTGGTCACGCAAACCCACATGAAGCCGACGTCAGGTGAAGGGTAGACCGTCTCATTTCACAGCAGTTTTGAGCAGCCGACCCGGCCCRGTGGGAACGTGGCCCACGTGGCCCAGCTAGGCTGGGTATGAATTGAGACACAGCTACTGGGAAGCTCCGACTTCGAAATTCACTGTGAACTATCTTCTTCTTCTTTTGATTATTGAAAACTTGGAAGGTGCATACCGCCACCTACTGTTCATGAGTGTGTAACATACAAAGAAGTATGTTGAAATAAAAATGTTTTAAATAATACGAGTTGACACAAAGTCTAAACAGAGTTTTAGCTGCAGTTTGTTGATAAAACTTGTTACAGATTCTACAGTCTGCTGGAAGAACAAAGAGGCAAGCATTTAACTTTACATTAAACTGTTTTTATTTACTTTTTAAATCACTGAACATAAAAACATCCAGACAACAAAAACATCTGGTGCATTTATTAAACAAGCTGCAACTATATTACCCACAAGGCCACAGTCTTAAATACATGATAGTAATAAAAGTCTGAGTAAACTGATTTTTATTGATATAAGTGTTACTTTAATCAGCAGACAGCAACAGTTTGAATGATAATAAACTACAGACTCAAACTCAAGAAGTGGGTCAGTTGTTCAAATCTGATCAGATTTTGGTCACCAGATTGGACCAAATCTTGAAAACTGGTTGTTCAAAAGGGAAAGAAAGATTCTGAAATCAGATTGGATCATATAATCCAATCCTAGTTTTAATCTGGATCAAATCTTCAGTTTGTGTTCAAAACTTTTCAGCAGGATTTGGATCAGTTTGATTCAAAGAAACAGGATTATCCTGATCCCAACAGGAGGCAGGATTATAAGGTGGAGTTCAGGAAGAAAATATGTAAAATTTGGCCAAATAATACATTTCTATAATTTAGTGTATATACACTTTATCTTGACTTGCTTAACCGTTATAGATAAAGAAGATAAAATAAACAGGCTACCAATTACGCCTTTCAGTATAGTTAAATAAAAATGATCTTGTTTCCATGAAATACTGCAATTCCATAAACTGATTTCAGTAACAAACAAAAATAATACATTCAGTTTTTTGTAACTGATCACTGTTTATTAATTAAAAAAAACAATCATCAGAGATGAACCTGTCAAAAATAATTTCTAACAACTGCATCCCTTCCTTCACAGAGGAACTAATCAAGCTGACCAAACCAAAGTGCAACTTCAGATCTGCCTCCTTAAAGCAGGGCTTGGAAATGCTGCTCTCTCCTCAGATGAATAAGAACCTTAAACATTTTATTTTATTTTATGACTATTAAAGATTTACCCTTAAAAAATAAGGACGTTTTCAAAATATCCACCATGTATCTGTTAATGTATATTTGTTTTTTATTTGTTGCGGCTCAGATGAGGGGTCAAAAATTCTAAAAGGAAGTGAATGTTTCTGTTATTTTTGTCTCCAAATAATAAAGATTTAAAGTGAGCCCATGTTGACTCTTYTACCTGTTGTTTTTACTCAGCTGGTAGCCCACAGTGTGACATGTTGTCTCATTTAGAGCACTGGTAATCCAGAGGCCTATTTTTYAAAAGTCAGATTTCTAAATCCAGGATCTGAGCTGTAAGCTGAGCTTGAACTAGCTTCAACTTGTAAACAGCTGTAATCAGTTGCTCTAACACCAAGCTGCGCTCAATGAGGGTGGTTCATTCAAACCAGCGGTAAATAATCTGGGATTAATGCACRTTCACGGTWTGTTTACTAGACCCACTGGGTGGATCACAGATCWMCTGATCAGACATGAGCAGTAAGACACGTGAGTCTCACTTCCTCCAGCAGTGTAAGGGTTAATTATGATTCATWTGAAGAGATGAAGAGAAACACCGACTGATGCTGAAATMATTTCAAAAGTAAAAACTTTTTGTGTCTGAATCTGTCTGTAAATTATCTGAGATTAACTAAATAAACTAATAATAGACTAATTTAAAGGTTAAGCTGAAGTTAAGTCTTTTTTATTATTCTTTTTCATGGATAATCTGATAAATAAATTAAATAAATATATTTACTCTTTAATATTTTAATGCAAAGAAAAAAAATAAATTTAAGTGTATAAAGAACTGATTTCTGATCAGAAACGGCAAAAATTAACCATCTAAAAATAAGTTAAAACTACTAGATTAGACTCTTATTCTTTTCAAATCAATAATAATTAATAATCTGCAGTTTGACAGCTGCACCTGGTAAGACTTCTTGAAGTAAAAAAAAAACTTTTCAGATTAACAAGATTAATAATCCAACATATTCTGATCTTGTTTGGTATATGGGTCTAAAACCAAGATGAAAAATAGTTTTTATCTGATATCAGACTGTAAAACYTGGTCAGAGGAACAGTTTTCTGCAGTAAAATGACTCTACTGCTCAGAAACACTAACAGATWAAATAAGCTTCACTTTAAACCTGATCAGGTTAGTTTCAGAGCACTTCTTACCACAGAAACATAAGAGCTTCATAGTTCATGCAACTGATTCAAGGCTTAATTAWTTCAGATTTACACCAAAACCCCAGGTTAATCCCTTATCCTAGTCTAGTTTCATGCAATGGGCCTCAGATCTGGTCATCTTGAAAACAGACCTGGATCAGGGGCTCAAATCTAATGTTGCTTTGAAAAACTAGCATAAAAGTAAGACAGATTCCTTGATCCTGGATAGAGAAGAACGGGATTTCCAAATCTGGATGGATTTGATCCAGATTACAGTAAAAATAAAAACTGGCCTCTTAAAATCACAGCTTCAAACCTGTGTGACATTTCATGTGTGAATTCTCATGTGACGTACAAAACTGACCTTTTGTTTAAAACTTTTTCCACAAGTCTGACATGAGTAAGGTTTCTCACCTGTGTGAATTTTCATGTGACAGGTTAAAGCGCATTTTCGTTTAAACCTTTTTCCACATGTCTGACATGAGAAAGGTCTCTCACCTGTGTGGATTCTCATGTGTCTGGTTAAATCGTCTTTTCTGCGAAAATTATTTCCACATGTCTGACATGAGAAAGGTCTCTTGCCTGTATGAATTTTCATGTGACACATCAAATTAGTTTTGTGAATAAATTTCTTTCCACATGTCTGACATGAGTAAGGTTTCTCACCTGTATGAGTTCTCATGTGATGGACTAAACTGCTTTTATGGATAAAACTTTTTCCACATGTCTGACATAAGAAGAGCTTCTCACCTGTGTGAGTTTTCATGTGAACGGCTAAAATGCATTTTTGATAAAACCTTTTTCCACATGTCTGACACAAAAATGGTTTCTCACTGTTGTGATTTCTCATGTGATACTTCAAAGCACTGTCTCGAAAATATTTTTTTCCACAGGTCTGACATGAAAAGGGTCTCTCACCTGTGTGAATTTTCATGTGACAGGTTAAAGTGCTTTTTCGTGTAAAGTTTTTTCCACATGTCTGACATGAGTAAGGTCTCTCACCTGTGTGGGTTTTCATGTGTCTGATTAAATCGGCTTTTCTACTAAAAATTTTTCCACATGTCTGACATGAGAAAGGTTTCTCACCTGTGTGAGTTCTCTTGTGAACATTTAAATCACGTTTTAGCCTCAACTTTTTCCCACAAGTCGTACACAAATAAAGCTTGATTTGTTCTCCCTTTACTTTTGGCTGGTCCACATGGTCACTGAGACCTCTGGCTTGTGGACTTGTCTTATTTAGTCTCAGATCTTCATCTCTGCAGGATCCTGGATCTCCAGTCCTGCTTCCTTCCTGAACTTGGTTCTCAGCTTCAGCAGAGTTCTGAGAGAGGAGCTGCTTCCTGTTTGGTTCTAACTCACACTGA